TAGGGCAGATCAGCTGGGGAGAATGGTATTTTTAGCTCACAGCTAGACTCTGAGTGTTGAATCAGATACTGCAAAAATTGAGGACTTACAATGCTTTCTTGAACAGAGAGCTCCTATGGCTGGCAGGGAGCATGCAGGTCAGCTCACTCTGGGCTGTAGGTGATAGGTGCAGGCAGGCCACCTACTTAGGAACAGGCTTTAGGAAGCAGTCTCCCAGCAACATCAGTGACTTAATGAACAAAAAAAGATGGTCTATATCTTTAAGAGAACATAAGGAAATTTTGCCATCCAAGATTCACGTTGCCACTAGCCAAAGAGCAGTTACAATGGAAAAGAGTTCATGGAGCTTGGAACAGCCAAGGCAGGGGGGTGGCCTGGAGACAAAGGAGCAATGACGAAACACCTCTGTCTGGGAGGCGGCTTCAGTCTTTGGCACAGACTGCACCTTCTCCCGGCAGAGCCCAGGCACCTCCTATCTGGAGGGTGCTCTAAACAGGGACGGTCAGAGGCACTATGTTCCCCGGCACACGCAGCAAGGGTCACTTCTCATGAAGGCTTTTGGCCTTCCCCTCTGAAATCAAGCGGCCTCTTCTGATCTGTCACTCTGGCAATCCACACTGGGTCTTTCTGACTTCCATTTCACTCCCGGAGATTATTGTTAATTACTGTTGTTCAGTCGTTTCACTCAGGTCCAACTCTTCCTGACCCACACTGGGGTTTTCTTGGCACAGATACTGGAGTGGTTTGCCATTTTTGTCTCCAGCTCATTTTACAAATGAGGAAATTGAGGCAAACGGGGTGATGTGACTTGCCCAAGGATCACAGAGGTATTAAGTTTCTGAGGCTGGACTGGAACTCAGGTCTTCTTGACTCCAGGCCAGTGCTCTATTCACTGTGCCACCTAGCTGCCCCATTTATGGAGGAGAAAACAAAACCAAACAAGTCTTGCTCTTTCATGTGCCTTTTGCCCTGGATGCCCTGACCACCTTCACTGCCACCACTGTTCTCAGATATGTGAAGCACCCCGAATGCAGTCAAGTGATCTGGAATTCAGACTCTTTGGAAGCTGAGCACAACGACTTGTCGACCATGACCCACTTCATTTCCTGCTTCTAGCAGACTTCAGAGGTGCTCACATTTGGAAGTAGGGGCCCTCTCTTCCTTGGTCACCCAAAGAGGACTCATTAAACCACAACACAATAGAGAACCACCATCATCCTAATTAGCGTGTACTACAGGAAAAGGGGCTAAAAGGCCTGAACTTTTCATGAAGGCTTTCTTTTATATTTTTTATATATATATATATATATATATATATATATATATATATAAATTTATTTATTTTTGGTTTTCAACATTTACTTCCACAAGATTTTGAGCTCCAAATTTTCACCCCATCTCCCCCCTCCCCCCACTCCAAGATGGCATGCATTCTGAATACCCCTTTTCCTAGTCTGCCCTCTCTTCTTTCTCCCCACCCCTTATCCCCTTCCCCTTCTATTTTCCTATAGGGCAAGACAGACTTCTGTACCCCATTTCCTGCATTTCTTATTTCCCAGTTGCATGTGAAAACTTTTTTTTAAGAAGTGTTTTAAAAACTTTCGGTTCCAAATTTTCTCCCTTCCTCTCTCCCCACCCACCCTCATTGAAAAGGCAAGTAACTCGATATAGGTTATACGTGTGCAGTTATGCAAAACACTTCCATGGCAGACATGTTGTGAAAAACTAACTCTATTTCCTTTAATCCTATCCTGCCCCCCCCATTTATTCTATTCTTTCTTTTGACCCTGTCCCTCCTCAGAAGTATTTACTTCTGATTACCCCTTTCCCAATCTGCCCTCCTCTCTATCATCCCCCTCTCTTGTCCCCTTCTCCCCCTATTTTCCTGTAGGGTAAGACAGATTTCCATACCCAATTGAATGTGTATGTTATTCCCTACTTAAGCCAAATCCTATGAGAATAAGATTCCCTCATTCCCTCTCACCTTCCCCTGTTTCCCCTCCACTGTAAGAGCCTTTTCTTTGTTTTTTTTTTGTGAGATAATTTACCCTTTCTACTCTCCCTTTCTTCTTCTCCTAGTATAATTCTCTCATCCCTTAATTTTATTCTCCAGATATGACCCCTTAATCTTCAACTCACCCTGTGCCCTCTATCTATCTATCTATCTATCTATCTATCTATCTATCTATCTATCTATCTATCTATCTATCCATCATCATCTATCTATCTACATACATATAATTTTCCCCCTCCAACTACCCTAATACTGACAAAGGTCTCATGAGTTATAAATATCATCTTTCCATGCAGGAATGTAAACAGTTCAACCTTAATAAGTCTCTTATGATTTCTCTTTCCTGTTTACCTCTTCATGTTCCACTTGAGTCTTGTATTTGAAAGTCAAATTTTCTATTCAGCTCTGGTCTTTTCATCAAGAATGCTTGAAAGTCCTCTATTTCACTGAATGACCATTTTTTCCCCTGAAGGATTATACTCAGTTTTGCTGGGTAGGTGATTCTTGGTTGTAATCCTATCTCCTTTGCCCTCCGGAATATTATATTCCATGCCCTGCGGTCCTTTAATGTAGAAGCTGCTAAATCTTGTGTTATCCTGATTGTGTTTCCACAATACTTGAATTGTTTCTTTCTGGCAGCTTGTAATATTTTCTCCTTGACCTGGGAACTCTGGAATTTGGCTACAATATTCCTAGGAGTTTTCCTTTGGGGATCTCTTTCAGGAGGAGATCTGTGGATTCTTTCAATTTCTATTTTGCCCTCTGGTTCTAAAATATCAGGGCAGTTTTCCTTGATAATTTCTTGAAAGATGATGTCTAGGCTCTTTTTTTGATCATGGCTTTCAGATAGTCCAATAATTTTTAAATTCTCTCTCCTGGATCTATTTTCCAGGTCAGTTGTTTTTCCAATGAGATATTTCACATTGTTTTCTAATTTTTCATTCTTTTGGATTTGTTTTACAGTGTCTTGATTTCTCATAAAGTCACTATCTTCCAATTGCTCTATTCTAATTTTTAAGGAAGTATTTTCTTCAGTAAGCTTTTGGACTTCCTTTTCCATTTGGCCAATTTTGCTTTTTAGGGCATTCTTCTCCTCATTGGCTTTTTGGACCTCTTTTGCCATTTGGGTTAGGCTATTTTTTAAGGTGTTATTTTCTCAGTATTTTTTTGGGTCTCCTTTAGCAAGCTGTTGACTTGTTTTTCATGATTTTCTTCCATCACTTCATTTCTCTTCCCAGTTTTTCCTCTACTTCTCTTACCTGCTTCTCAAAATCCCTTTTGAGCTCTTCCAAGGCCTGGGACTGATTCATATTTTTCTTGGAGGCTTTGGATGTAGGAGCTTTGACTTTGTTGCCTTCTTCTGGTTGTATGTTTTGATCTTCTTTGTCACCAAAGTAAGATAATATAGTCTGACTCTTTTTGAGCTGCTTGCTCATGATCCCAGCCAATTACTTGAGTTTTAAACTCTTTGTTAAGGTATGAATCTGCTTCCAATGTGGAGAATGTACTGTCCCAAGCTTCGGGGGTTTGTACAGCTGTTTTCAGAGATACTTGTAGGGACCTGTAAATTTTCAGTTCTTGCAAGGTGGTATGATAAGGAGCGAGGTGTTTACTCCTTTCCTGGCCTGTGTTCTGGTCTATTAGTGACCACAAGCACTCCTTTCTGTTCTAGAACTGTAAAGAAGGTTTCCTCTCCACTGCCACTACAAGCTCCACCAGGCTAGCACTCTTCCTCGCCCCAGAACCGCCACCCAGAGCTGTGACCCAGATCCAAGCACGGGCAAAGCAAGAGATTCCTGCCTCAGCACTGGCAAAGAGATCCCTGCAATCTCCCTCTGATCAGCCACTTGATTCCCCCTCAGTCTGTGGGCCAGAAGCTCAGGACGCAGCCACCGCCCCAGCGCCCAAGCTCTGGAGCTGGCTCTGACCTAGCTCATCTCTCAGCACCACAGAAACAGACTTTTCCCACTGACCTTCTAAGTTGTCTTTGGTGTTTGTGGGTTGAGAGGTCTGGAAGCCACCCCAGCTGCCTGAGATTCAGTACTCTGAGGCCTGCTCCAGGTTCACTGTGGCCTTCGTGCGCATGCCACACTGCGCTCCTCTACCTGCCCAGAATGATATACCTTTCTGATCAACCATCCAGGTTGTCCTGGGCTGGAAATTTGCTTCACTCTGTCTTTTTGTGGGTTCTGTTGCTTTAGAATTTGTTTAGAGCCATTTTTTATAGGTATCTGGAGGGGTTTTGGGAGCTCAAGCAAGTCACTGCTTTCACTCTGCCATCTTGGCCCCACCCCCTCATGAAGGATTTCAAGCTCTGTTCTTGTCTGCCAAGGGGTAAACTGACATTAGAAAACTAGGCTAAAGGTTAACATCTGGCAATTCTGAAGAGAATGAAAAAATAGGGCTACCAAAATACAACAGGAATTCCATCTACTACAATAGTTATTAGTGGGTTTGAAACTGCACCTGGAGCTAAGACAGTGGTTAACAGGTCTTCTGAAGCTACTGTAATCAAAGGTAACTAGACCACATCTGTTTGGCATTTCTAAAGAAAAAGACTAAAGAAAAAACCAAAAATTCTAAGTTTCCTGAAAAACTCAGAGCCTCTAAGTCCACTAGCATTTATCAGAAGAGATTACATAGAATTCAATCAACATTGGAAAGTACTGAGGATTTAGCAAGGACCTCAAGCATGACCCTCAAGAAATAAGCTACAGACGAGAAACAAAAGCCTGGCCTTTCATTTCTTTTCTTCCCTGAACTGTCACATTCCCTCTCTCAGTGCCAGAAGCACCGGGACTAGCAGAGTGATGAAAGAGCCAGCACTGTGCAAAGGAAGCAGTGAACAAACAGAAGGCGGAATCTCAGGCAGACTTCAAAGGAGCAGACCAACCTCAAGTCAGAAAAAAATTAAGCAACAGAGGGCAGAGCCCGGAACTGCCGTTAGTGGTAACCCAGGAGGGCAGCAGGTGGGCCCGTCACTCACCAGCATTCAAGTGGCATTCCTTAATCTGGAACTGCAGCTCGTTCTCATTGGGAATGTCCTTCCACGTTGCAAGGAAGACCTGGCGCTCTGAATTTAGGAACAGAGGGGGACAAAATGCTTGTAATCTGGTAGCGTTCCAACGCCTCACACTCAACACTATTACCAATTAAGTATTTTCGACACTATGGAGGCACTTTAGAACCAGGTGGTGCAGTGGACAGAGTGTCGGTCTTAGAGTCAGAAAGATCTGAGTTCAAATCTGGTCTCACCCACTTCCTAGGTATGTAACTCCAGGCAAGTCCCTTAATCTCTATTTGCCTCAGTTTTCTCATCTGTAAAATGGGGGTAATAATAGCACCTCCCAGGGTTGTTGTGAGGATCAAATGAGTTAATAATCTGAAGTGCTTAGCAGAGTGCCTGGCACATAGTAAGCGCTACAAGAATGTTAGCTATTATTATTATTATTCTTATTACCAGTGGACTCTAAACATTTTTGACCACACTTCTACCAGTAAAGAATTTTTGAGTACACACCCCAATGTTTATTTTTTATTTACTTTGAAATTACGTAATGTACTCCTGTACTAATAATCATGCACATTATAAACTTCCACACCCAAGTCTTGTCCTATCCAAAACAAAGACAGGGGAGGTAGGGCTCCTGTTCATTGCATACTGCCCCAGACCACAGGGCCTGTCCTCTAAGAGGCATCTGAGTGCCAAGGATAGATGTGCTGGGGGTGGGCTAGGTGGGGGAGGCTGGAGGCATACACTTTCCCAAAGACACCTAAACAGCTCCTCCTGCAGATGTCTGGGTAGTGGTCAGATTCTAACTGCCCTAAAGGACAAACTCCCAGCTCAGAAGGTTAAAGGTAAGGGGCAGGGGGGAGAAGACTAAGTGTGGCACCATGGAGACAATGCCCCTGCCTGGGTGGCAAGGGTGCATATGAGCTCTCTTTTTGCTCTGTGACTGCTTCTTCACATTCCTCCTGGAAGTCAGGCCTCGCTCAGGAGACCACTGCTTGCCACCAGGACTGAAGCCTGGGCTCTGACCCAACCTGTTGCCAGGCTAGGAAGCTGCTTTAATAGCCCAGATCTAGATGCAGCTTACAGAACACAACATCTCTCAGATGTGCTCTCCACTCCCATACCCACTGCCCTAGTTCAGGCCCTCATCACCTCTCACCTGGCTGTCTTCTAACCAGCCTCCCTGCTGCAAGACTCTCCCTGCTGCCATACATCTTCCACTTGGCTGCCAAGGATGGGTCTGATCACATCACACTCTGCTCAATAAGCTACAGCAGCTCTTTCCTCCCTTCATGTCTACACCAGCATACTCCAAGTTCCTTAAGAACATGACTCTCCATCTCCCATCTCCGTGTCTTTGCACTGGCTGTGCCAATGCCTGGCCTGCCCTGCTCCCTCACTGTGACCTCTGGGTTTCCCTTGCTTTCTTCAAGACTCTGGCCAAGGCCTCCTCCTGCGGGAGGCCTTCCTGGCTTCCCTAACTGCTAGTGCTCCCTTCGCTCAGACCACCTTCTTTACAGGTCGTCTCCCCACTGGGCTGTGCTCCTTGAGGTTTTGCTTCCCGTTGTTTCCCTAGCACTTAGCACCGTGCCTCGCGCAGAGTAAGGCCTTAATAAATCCTAGCTGACTGGCTGACTCTTGAGTGACACGTGGGCCCAATGGGCACAGCAGACAGCTGCTTGTGTCGTCAGTCACAGAGAACTGTGGTTCCAGGTGAGGATAGGGCTTCTTGGTCAGAGACCACAAAGCGTGTGGGGACCACAGTCCCTGAGGCTGTTTACCAGCAGGCACGGCACAGCTGGAAGACAGTCACAAGCCCTGGATTTGCTCTGAAATAACTTGTGGCACTGAAGGAGCTGTCATCTTCATGACAGGGATGTCAATGGCACAGAAACACTTGGGAGAATGAAGCCACACTCACCCATTTTTCCATCCTCTACAAAGAGCACGTTGAGTGGGATGAGGCAACTGAAGTAGAAGACGTCAATGTTATTTTTTACAGCCACCTGCCAGGGAAGCAAAAAGGGAGAATCAGGACACCTGATAGAGCCAAGAGGAGGAAAGGAAAGCCTGTGTCTGGAAATGTGTCACCTGGTTTCCTTTCCTCTTCCAGGTGGCACAGGGCTTTTATGCACCACGACACACACAGATGCTCAGTGCTCACACACATCCTCCTTTGCTGTCCTTAACTTTCCCCAGATAACCAGCATCTCTCCATTTTTCCCAGGGTGACTTTCTGTAAGACTCCATCATACCGCTGGAAAAAATCCTTATCATCCTGCTTCCTTTTCCTATCAAAAGATCTCCCCATGATGCACTTCCTTCAAAAAACCTCAATTATCAGAGGCAGAGTCAATGAATACAAAATGGAAACTAGCCAGGGTCAAACAAGAGATTATCTTTTCCTAGCCCACACCTTTGCCTCTCTTTGTCTAGCTTTCTAGAAATGTGGGTGATTTATTTTTCCACGTTCTATATAATTAATAACTCACTGTTGGTATCAGGAAGTTAGTGGATAGCCTAGTCTAGAGAAAAGCATTGATTGGTATCTACTTGAATAAGAGATGCCAGTGTAGCTGATTCTAAGAACGCAGAGCAGTATGAGAAAAAAAGAGAATTGCTCGCAAAGCATTACCTCCCATCTCATTTCCATAAGCAGGGATGGCAGCAGGGCACCTGTGCTCAGACATTGTCAGAGGAAGCCGGAGCCTCCCTTCTTGTTTTCATCTCTATGACGGTCATTCCCTCCTTTATTCAAGGGCCTATCTCTGTCACCACTTTTGTTTTCATCTTTTGGAAGCGCCTCCATTTCCAGGATTTCAATGAGCATTTATTAAGTGCCAACTACTTGCCAAGGACGATACACCCATTTCTTCCCACGACCTCCTGAGCCAGGAGGGCTAAAGGTTTAATCTCTTCAACCCCTTTCTCCACAAGTTTTTTTCTATTTACCATAAACTCATCTTCCCATCTTGTATCTACTCCATCTCTTTCCTCAAGCCCACATCTTCACTCTATGATATTCAACTCGCCTTAACTCCCTAGTTCCTGCTCAAAGAAATTCCTTACAGTTCCCACAGGTAACTAGATTTAAGTCTATCATTTAGACTTTATTTCACTAACCCACATGCTTCTTCTTTCTCACACAAGAACCCATCCAAACACTCTTGCTTCACAATTGCCTCTGCTTTCAACTCTCCTGTTACTAAGTTACATACCCTTCCATCAGGAGGTCCTTGCATGGATTCCACAGCAGGATACTCAAGCTGCTGTCGTGTGGTGATCCAAAATAGGGTACCACAAGCAAGGGCGACAGAGGACGGACTTAAAAGACAGTGAAACAAAACTTGAGAAGACCTGGCATTAGACAGCAGCTGCTGGAAGACGGCTGCCGCAGATCCACCATTCTGGGATACGGCAATCAGAGGGACACCACACAGCCCCAGAAGCACAGTCACAACTGAACACCAGGCTCTAGCTAACAAGCATTTAAGGGATTACTAGGTGCCAGGCACTGTGTTAAGTGCTTTGAATGCAAATATAAGCAAAAAGAAAATAGTCCCTGCCCTCAAGAAGCTTACATTCTCAAGAAGGAAGACAATGCATAAAAGGGAGCTAAAAAGCAGGAGATGGAAAGATGGAATGGGATGGCACAGATGACAGAAGAGGAAGTGGAGCCAAGAGGATGAAGGACAGGTGGCCCTCCAAGCGAGGTTCTTAGAGCAACCTGCCAATGGGCGAGTGGGGCTGTGAGGACCTCCCAGAGTTAGAAGGTGTATGTGCGTGCATGCACGCGAGTGTGTAGGGGGCCAGAATGAAAAGGCATCTGAGAAATGGTGGAGAAGTTCAAAGAGGCAGGAACAAAATTTCTACAAGCAGCTGAAAACCAATAAACAGTCTTTTGAGGAAGGATGTAAACTATTTTCAGTTGTGGATCAAAAGAGGGCCAAAGAGCACATATTTAGAGATGTCAATGATCTCAGAGATCATCTGGTCCAAACTTTTGAGGCCCCGAAGAATAGGCAGACTGCCCAAAGTCATAGAAGCAATAAATTACAAAGGAAGGATTCGAATCCAGGTCTTCTGACTCTAAATGCAGCCTTCTTTTCTGCTGTCCTTGACCTCTGGATATGTGCAATAGAGCTCTCATTGTTAGAGGAATCTTTTCATAGATGCTCAGTGATAACAATTCACATTTATCATCTCTGGATATGAAAAGTCCAATCTTGTGGGTAGTGAGAGTGCCATTAAGTCTTCCAGGTGACCAAGGGCTGGTTAGTTTAGCTTCTATTATCACATGAGGCTACAAGAGAAACAGTCTAGGCCTCCTTCCTAATTCTCACTGTCTTTATGCAATTCCCATTTCACAACCTACAAAGGTACCTTCAAGGCATACCACCTCTACGAGCAGTTAACCAGAGGAACAGATGTCGCATTAGACAATACCTGGCAGCTTGAAACAAAACGAAACATAGTGCTTACAGAAATGAAACAAAACTGTAAGACACAATCTTATCCCTTCCCAATGTGAAAAGGGAAAGGACAAAAGATACTTAATTACTGTTCGCTTTTCTGATTTTCTGCTTCAATGTGTGTCTGGGAAAAAAAAAGGCTACAGGACACAAGAACACAAACTACTGGGGGAAAGGACTCCCTATTTGTCAAGAATTTCTGGAGAAAATAGAAAGAAGTTAGGCAGAAAATGGGTTTAGGCAAGCATCTTTCACCATATACCATGATAAGCATCATATGGATAAGCAACCTATAGGTTACAAAATATAATAAAAATAATTACAGGAAAAAAGGTATCTTTCAAACAACTGTTAGAGTGAGAATTCAAAACCAAACAAGGGATAGAGGAAATCACAAAAAATAGAATGGACAAATTCAATTATATAAAATTCAAGTTTTTGCACAAACAAAATTAATGTGACCAGAATAAGAGAAGCTGGTGAATAGGAAAACAAAAAACAAACAAAAAACCTTATGCATTAAACATCTGACAAGCTTGATACCTAAGACACAGAATTCATATAAATATCTTAAAGTAGGAACTATTTCCCAATAAACAATGAAAGGATGTTCCACTGAAAACTGCCTGTTCATATCCTTTGACCATTTATCAATTGGGGAACGACTTGAATTCTTATAAATTTGACTCAGTTCTCTATATATTTTAGAAATGAGGCCTTTTATCAGAGACACTGGTTATAAAAATTCTTTCCCAGTTTTCTGCTTCCCTCCTAATCCTGGATGCATTGGCTTTGTTTGTGCAAAAAATTTTCAATTTAATGTAATCAAAATTATCCATTTTGCATTTCATAACGGTCTCTATCTCTTGTTTAGTCATAAATTCTTCCCTTCTCCATAGATCTGAAAAGGTAAACTATTTCTTGCTTTCCTAGTTTGCTTATAGTATCAGCCTTGATATCTAAATCCTGTACCCATTTTCACTTTATCTTGGTAGAGGGTATAAGATGTTGGTCTATGCCCAAATTCTGCCATACTTTTTGCTGTTTTCCTGGCAGTTTTTGTTAAATAGTGATTTCTTATCCCAGAAGCTAGAGTCTTTGGATTTATCAATAGTAGATTAGTATAGTCACTGACTGTTGTGTCTCACATACCTAACCTATTCCACTGATCCATCACACTACTGTTTAGCCAGTAGTACCAAGTAGTTTTAACAGTTTCCAAAAGAAGAAATGAAGGATACAGACAGTGCCCATCTAGATCGGTATTTTTTGCATGTGTTGCCTATGTCAATCACCAGTTTTATTTATTTATGGTCTACAAAGGATGTGCTTAACACTTCTGCCTTTTTACATTTATTTTTTTCTCTGTGCTCCATTGTTCAGTTCTTTCAGTTGTGACTGATTTTTCATAACCACATTTAGGGTTTTCTTAAGCAAAGATACTGGAGGGGGTTGACATTTCCTTCTCCAGCTCATTTTACAGAAGAGGAAACTGAGGCAAACAGGGTTAAGTGACTTGCCCAAGGATCACACAAGTAGTAAGTATCTGAGGTCAAATCTGAACTCAGGTCTTCCTGACTCAAAGCCCGACACTCAATCCACTGCACCACCTACCTGCTCTTTGTGCTCTAGCACAATTTTTTGGTAAAGGTATCATGGGGGGTATATCCCATTCCTATTCAGAAGATTAAGACTTTTATGTCTAATTTTTCCAACATTTCATTCAGCTCTCTAGTTCTCTTTTTGTTTAACTTTACATTAAGTATACCTAGCTCTGTGTCTTTTTGCAATGTGGTTAGTTTTTCTGAATTTAGAAGTTACGCTATTTGGTATATATGTGTTTAATAGTGATACTATTTCATTGTGCCTGGCAAATTGAATCCTAAGGACAACTATTTATTCCTGCCTTGCCAGAAATCATGATTCTAACTTTCTAGTTTCTTACAAATTCCTGACACAAAATTCCTTGAATTTTGATCAAACTGCTCATTTTAATTCTATTAATTCAATTAATTTAAAGGTATGTCTTTTACATACAATGGTTGGTTTTTCTTTCTTTTTAGTGCTCTCCTGGTGCTTTTTGTTTTTATAACACAGTCACTTCCAGATACACTCCTTCACCAATATAGACCCACTGGACTTTCCTTATAATAAAGAATAACAATGAAACATTCCCTCTTTCTCCAACAAAAGGAAGAGCCCCATTTACATCATGACACTTTAGCGACACTTTCTGTGGGAGCGTAAAAACTAGAAACAAAGTCAGTGCCCACAATCTGGAAAATGGATGAACAAATTATGATTTGTGGATGTAATGGAATATTACATTACAGAAAATGATAACTACAAGAACTTCAAGATCGGTATGAAGTCATGCAGAGCAAAATAAAGCAGAACAAGGAAAACAATATATAGGACACCATGACAACAAATGAAACCCCCCCCCCACAAAAAGTCAGTTGAACTCTTAATTAATCATAATGACCAACCTCGGTCCCAGAAAAATGCTGATGAAATATATGGCACTCCTCTCA